GAGTGAGAGGAGAGAGGAGGAGAGAGAGAGAGAGAGGTGTTTCATTTCATTTGGTGGACTTTGGTTGTTCTTTAAAAAATTGCTAGCAATATATATAATTTGGCTATCACAGGTGTTTTCTTAAACCTGTATTTGGTTGTCTTCTTGCCATTTGTTTCTTTGGTTTATGGTGTACTGACCTCCTCTGTAACATCATCGTGATGTCCATTCTCTAATATATTACTTATGTTCTCATCCTGTTGTCCCCATTTTTCTGGCTATCTGGAGCATTATATTGCACATGCCATATGGTCATTTCCAGTTGTTTCTTTTGGAAAGAAGTTACAAGATGTATAGTTGTTTTTTACATAGTTATCGGAATATCTGATCGGACCATGCGATTCCGATTCCGAAACCCATTTCGAAAATTGTTAAGGAAACTCCACAGACACTGTTTTTTTTATCCAATGAAACTCGATTCCTTTATTTTGGAATCTCGATTCCGTACCTAGGTGGAAACTTTTTTTTTGCATCATAGGAAACTTGATTCCTTAATTTTAGAATCTCGATTCCTCACATATGTGGAAACCTATTTTCGGAACCAAGAAAACTCGATTCCTTAATTTCGGAATCTTAATTCAACACTCCTTTTAAAAATATTTTACGGAACCAAGAAAACTTGATTCCTTAGTTTTGCAATCTCGATTCTTTAATTTTGGAATCTCGATTCTTTAATTTCGGAATCTCGATCCAACAGATCTGGAGAAACTTGAACCCCCTAATTGTGGGTAGACGCTCCCAAATAGATTGAATCTGGCTTCTAGCGAGGTTTAGATATTGATTCCATGTTAAATGATACATGATTCTACAAGTAATGGAACTCATTTCGTCAGGTTTTGAATCATCTACACCATATAAAACATTGGTTTCTTGTAATTAATAACCACAAAAGCAATGTTTTATTTTCTAGTGGATATCATGCTTTAAGATCCCAAATGATAGCATTAGGCAGCATGTGTACTAGAAGGGGGTATTATTAGTTATAAGGCATGTATTTTAGAAGGAATTTAATAAGATTGTGTTGCTTTTTTGGTTATCTTTATTATGTTTCTTATATTTGCATTAATGTAAACTACTATAGTTTCTTGCTCATGGTTTAAATGCTTATAGAACAATGTTCCATATATTTGCAGTGATGTAAACTGCTATGGTTTCTTAATCCTGGTCATATGTTATGTGAAATTATTTAAATGCCCATAGGATAATGTTTCTTATATATGCAGTGATGTAAACTGCATTGGTTTCCTAATCTTGCTCATATGTTATCTGAAAAGACTGCTTAAGTGATTTTACACCATGTGTAGCCTCGCAACATTGATTAGTATTGAAATACTGAATGTAAAGTGGTTATTAATAATGCTAATTTTATTTATTCGCCTCTAATTTAAATGCCTATAAAATATTGAAATCATTTAATAACATATAAAGCAACACACATGGGCTGACGATTCTACAGCAACATATCTATGTACCACATATGTCAGAAACTCGAATCAAGTGATGTCGGAAACTCGATTATGCTATTGTAATTCTCGATCTCAAACCAGCATGGATCTCTTATTCATATCCTTAAGAAACTTGATTCCAAATATGTTAGAACGATTCCATAGATGTTGGAAATTCGATTCCAAATATGTTAGAATGCTTATAGAAATTCGATTTAAATGCTTATAGAATAATGTTCCATATATTTGCAGTGATGTAAACTGCCATGGTTTCGTAATCCTGGTCATATGTTATGTGAAATTATTTAAATGCCCATAGGATAATGTTTCTTATATATGCAGTGATGTAAACTGCATTGGTTTCCTAATCTTGCTCATATGTTATCTGAAAAGACTGCTTAAGTGATCTTACACCATGTGTAGCCTCGCAACATTGATTAGTATTGAAATACTGAATGTAAAGTGGTTATTAATAATGCTAATTTTATTTATTCGCCTTTAATTTAAATGCCTATAAAATATTGAAATCATTTAATAACATATAAAGCAACACACATGGACTGACGATTCTACAGCAACATATCTATGTACCACAAATGTCAGAAACTCGAATCAAGTGATGTCGGAAACTCGATTATGCTATTGTAATTCTCGATCTCAAACCAGCATGGATCTCTTATTCATATCCTTAAGAAACTTGATTCCAAATATGTTAGAACGATTCCATAGATGTTGGAAATTCGATTCCAAATATGTTAGAATCAGGATTCCATAAATGATGGAAACTCGATTCTGCATATGTTGGAAACTCGATTCCGCATATGTCGGAAACTCGATTCCATAGATGATGGAAACTCGATTCTGCATATTCATGAACTTGACACTTTGAGTGTCGAACCCAGGGGGATGGGAATCTCGATTCCAAGGAGGTCGGAATCTCAATTCCATATGTGGATGAAACTTGGACCTATTCTGATCGATACTCGATTCTTGAAAATTAGGAATCTCCTTCCCAGCGATTCCTATTGTACGGACAACAATTCCTACAATGGGAAACTTCTGGCCAGGCGCGATTCCGCAATTTCGGTCTTTGAAATGATTCAAGTTCCCAGGCGTTTCCAACAATTATGGTTTGTTATATTAAAAAAAAACAAAAGACTTATAGTTGTTTGTTCTCATTGTTCACTTCAATCTTCCTTTCATCCAAGGATAAGGACTGTTTTTCTGAAGGACTAGTATCAGTAGTCCGAGCATGCGGAAGCAAGATTATAAGTTTAGGGGGCATAATCTATAACCAAATTCTATGGATTTGTCACATGCGATTGGTCGGGTCTGATTTCTGATCGGGTCTGATTTCTCGTCGTCCTGGGTCAGCCCGATATGGGTGACCCGATCAGAGGAATTCTCACGCAAACAACAGCGGGCCCACGTGCGTGTGCCCACGTGTGCTTGTAGTGAGAATAAGAACCAACAAAGAGAGAGATTTTAATTGACAAAGAAGGGCTTGAGCACCTAACTTGCCTTTTTGGGTTGACGGGACATGTCCGGGCGATTCGCCCTCTTGGATCATCTCGAAAGCCCTCCGGCTGTCCTTGCAATGCGGTTTGAATTCGGCTCCCTCGCTTTCCTGCGCAACACTTGGATCCACACACTAAAAATGGCCTTCAGGTTATACTTTTTGGGATCTCCTCCTATTGGTAATATGGTAAATTTGGAGTCTAAATAAAGAGTTAGAGGGGTCATGGAAGTTCTTTACCACTCGAGTGTGACGAGACTCGACGATTAGAGCAGTCAAATAGTCAGAACTCTATGGATTGCTAACTCAGGATGACCCCATTCAAGTGAGCGAGGGCAAGAGCATCAATATCTCTCGTAACTCAACTCGACTCTACGGAATGGAGGTTAGAGCAGCGGTCCGAAAGTTAAAACCATTAAAATAGCTCTAAGTGTGGCACTAAGTCGAACACACAAATAATAGAAGAAGCTACCAACACAAAAGAATAGGGGGGTTGTGAACATTAGGGTGCATTCAAAACAATGTAGGTTCGAATGGGTG